CTCATTCAGAATCATACGAAAACCTTCTGGTTCGCGCAGAGCTACCTTCACTACTAAATCGAAGACTACAAGATATCGCTATATTAATGTACAAAGTAAAATATGGCCTGGCACCGAGTATTGTTGACGAAATATTTAAGCAAAAACGCAGTAGTTATTCACTAAGAAACAGTGATTTTGATATTCCTACTTTTAACACTACTAACTATGGAAAACATTCTCTTAGATATCAAGGACTTCATATATGGTCCCCGAATATTGAATCTTTTAAAAATAACATTAGGAAAAAAGACCCAACAACAACAATAGCTGCTGTAACCTTTGCAATTCTTAGAGACCACCTTTTACATACCTATTGTTTTACTGTACAATTAATACATGCATATTTTAATTGTATATACATTTTTATTATTATTATTTCTTATTTGTAAATAATTTTAATTTTTTGTTGTGTCCCCAATTAGTTGTGAAAACTAAATACATTGACACATTAATAAAGCTTTTACTTTTACCCCTGTTTTTCTTACTTTACTTACTTTACGGCTCACGGTTTACCGAAAATCTCTCGAAATCTTTCCTCCAACGGCCCAACCTTCGACAAAAGGTACAAAACAGGTTTCCTTTTTTCAAAAGTTGGTATTAAACAAGGTAAAATAGGCACAGAAAAGTCAAAGATTGCTTTGAATGCTCACGTTCACCTGAGGACGACAAATCAAGAGATCATCACGTCCTGAACGCAATGTGGACGACATCACTGACATGCGCAGAAGTTGCCGGCTTTGTGAGAACACTTTCGGTCGGCGTCCACTCGGCTCGTCGTCTAGGTTGTTTAAGGTCCCTAATCAAACAAAGGCCCAGAACAGGACACCGATCCTGTTGCGGGTGGTTTATTCAGCGGGCCTTTTAACAGGCTAATCAAAGAATCGACTATACCCTCACATTGGTGGTTGTGTTGAATTGATGCCACCGGAACATAGTTTGTTTATTTCATTTCATATAATAAATCGCTGCTTTTTTTCGTGAATAGGGAAGTCAAACCAACCATCAACACCGCATATTCCCAGCACAGGTACCTTTGACATATTTCAAAGTACTTTATTTGTTTTTAGTTCTAAGATTTTTTCGATTTTCCACTTTTTACTGCGTTTGAGCCCTTTTAAGTTGTATCCCATGTTTTTTAAAAAAATTCAATTTATGACAATGGGAGATAACACATTGCACCGGCGATGGAAATTCTCCATTTGTTGGTTTTAAATAACAATTGATTACGGTCTTTGAATCGTGGACTGAAGGTTAAAATCTTCCGAGATGAACGATTCTGTAAGATTGACTCTCAAGAGAAGAAAGTTCTCAAAACTAACCCTTAAACTTTTGAATATCTCTGTATATTTATTTTTTCTCTCTCGTAACAATGAAGGGGGTTTAGCAGTTTTGTCAGCAACTGCTACCAATTGTAGACGCCGGCGGTAGCATTACACTTCTCTTCTGTTTCTTTCAAGAATGAAGGAATGCTTTTTCTCATTGAGTCTACTGACAATGGTAAGTATCGATTATTGCATTCACAGACCCCTCATTTTAAAGACACCTGATTATGTGACAATTCTCGTAACGGAATAAACGTGGCTATTCCTGGTTCTTTATGGGCAGACTAAGAAGACATTGTTAAAGATTTTTCTTGATGCGTCATTCTTCTACTACAAACCTCACATCACCCGTCTGTTCTGCTCTCTCAATTGAAACCGACAGGCGTTTATGGCCTTGCAGACCTTATGCTTGTTTGGATTTGTAGTTCATCCTGCCCCGGTTTTCATGCACATAGCGGGTGCTTACCATCTTGCCAAACGAAACAGCCCCGGCAAAAACCAGTAGAATTATCATGAGAAAATGGTCAAAAGGAACACCACTAGACTTGGACCACTTTGGCCGGAAATTTTCACGCGGACCGAAGCGTTTCTTTTATTTCTCAACCGAAATTTTGGCATAATGGAAAGCTGCCATAATTTTAATCATTGTCTTTATTCCTTGTATTCAAGAGTCGTACATCTTTTCATGCCACCATGAGGCTTGCCAGACCCGGCGCTAGGAGCCGATGTCTTGAAGCCTGCATCGCGATCTCCCATACAAAGAGTCAACCCGTTCGATTTAGAAACTGTTTTCGCGGGAGTTTTGGCACGTGCCATTAGTATTATTCAATCAGAGTAAAGCTATGATCATACATCTCATGCTGAGCGGAGAGGTAAGCGCGCCAAAAAACTGGCTTCAAGCTTTTATTTGAAAGCAGTGGCAATCGCAATCGCAAAGTAAATACAGTTGTGCGACATGTACAAGCTTCTTATAATCTGAGCAAGACTGGAGTGCTCCAGCCGGTACTCGGAGTACTGTTAGTGCTCGTTTTTTTTCTTCCGAGCCGCCTGTACTGTCGCACTTTGTAATAAAATTGTCACACTTTGTAATACCTGTCGCACTTTGTAATAAAATTGTCACACTTTGTAATACCTGTCGCACTTTGTAATAAAAAAGCTGTCGCACTTTGTAATAACACTTGTGGCACTTTGTAATAAACTTGAAATAGATGGTCGGAGGACAAGTAAACCCAGTTATCAGTGTCATCATCGACAACAACAACAACGACAATAATAATGATAATAATAATAATAAAGTAAAAACTTGCAAGAGGTGACAGGCCGCACATCCTCACCAGCGTGAAACCTTTGAAAATCTTTTACATATTGCTCCATTGAGAAGAACTCTTTCAGGGATCTTACAGTTTAATATTTGAACCACGATATAGCTTATATATAGCGGACCAAGATACGGCTTGGTACAGTTTATGCTCAGCGAGGGAAAATTGTGTAAGTTGAGCAGAACCTTTAAAATGTACTACAGACAATTAAATTTGTTCAGTTCGCGCGTATTCCTGTTGAATTTGTGGCCCGTTTATGAGATTTGTCTACTCAAAAATATAATAATTTTTCCATAGCTGCTGTAATCTTAGGGTATCTGCTTTTAATATCTTCGTAAAGTTTAGGTTTACGCGATCTCAGAGAACAATGTTCAGCTGTACACAGCACGTAGCCTTTAACTATATCCAGATCTAACACTGGTTTTGTGTATTTATCACAATGATGCCGTTTCATGTAGGTTCCAGCGTATTCGAAATTTCCACAACATTCATTAGTAGTGGTCATCTTGGCACAATGACGTGATATGCAATGTTTTAAAGAACATTTTAGTGCGAAAAAAATAGTGACAATAATGATGATGATGACACTGATTGTGGCACCGGGTTGTGCTCTGAGTTTGTGATTTTCATTTGGTTTTATGAAATACAGTATAGCTTATTCATGGTAATAAATATAAATCAAGTAATATCTCTGTATGTGTCTCAAGTAATATCTCGCAGGTAACGAAATCATAGGTTTTCTAGTTGCCTGTGCTAGTAGTAAAACTTTAAAAATATTTTGCTTATACGATCACATTTCGCCTGAAGGACACCTTTAATTACTTTCACTAACAATCAATTAAATGAAATTCCAATACAAACTCCTATTTTAAACGACTCTCCCTGTCAAAGGCGTAGACACTTTCTCTCTATCGAGGTCGTCCGCATATAAAGAGTTGTACTTCCCTAGAAAGATCTTGAAGCCAAAAGTTGATGTGAACACTTATTATTATTATTGTCGTTGTTGTTGTTGTCCATGATGACACTTATTACTGGGTTTATTTGTCCTCCGACCATCTATTTCAAGTTTATTACAAAGTGCGACAAGTGTTATTACAAAGTGCGACAGGTATTACAAAGTGTGACAATTTTATTACAAAGTGCGACAGTACAGCCGCCTGTGTCACTGACTGGATAAACATCTTTCTCATGATATGTGAGGAGTTTCTTCCAGGAAATTAAGGGGTTAGGCCATTTAAAATCTCGCGATAAGAGTTTGATGGAGAAGAAGGGCCCAACTGCTCCCCTACCTCCGACAGAACTTGCTCATAAAAGAACCTTTTACCTAATTTACTTTCATCTCTGCGTAACTTTACTCGCCATTTTGTTCCCTTTACAGAACCAGCTTTTCTTTTTACTGCTTTGCCTTGGACTCATGTCAGTTATGTTTCTTTATCAAAATCCCGATTGGGGCCTGGCATCCATCAAGCTTCTTAGTCATCAAAAACATTACTTGGTTAGGGTCCAAGCAGGTGAGTTAATAGTTTCATCCGTGATCATGGTGATACACGTATAGATACTTTAAACTCCCGGAGGTCATTTTAACATTTTTAAACACCTTGTCAGGGCAATTCCTCCCCTTTATTGGACAGTAAGTCTTTTACATTGGAGGTAGGATTAGTCAGCCTGTGCGGGCAGTGTAACCCTTTTACAAGGCTCATTTTCCACCATGACTATGGTCGCTTTTAGTGAGCGCCTTTAAATGCTCCTTTTATCTGTAGTCATCTGTAGTCGTCGTTCTCCACGCAAACGGCAAACGTCCTGATCATGGACGGCCTACGCTATGTATTACGTTCGCCGTTTGCCGTTAGGTTTGCATGGCGTGAAGAGTGATATATGAATTTCACGTTCATTTGATGTCGGATACATTAACAATCGGATGGTCATCCGCCCCTGCGAGTATTTGCGTTTGGTTCATTTAGTAAATCTTTCCATCATAAATCTCAGTTTATCGGCCCTTTCGCCAAAACGTTTGAGAAAATCGTCAGTAAAACATAAAACGTCTTTAAGCTTCAACAATGATTAATATACTCTTGGCTTAATCATAGTGGTCTCCTTACGTTATTGAAATGATGCTTTAATTGTTTACTTCACTGTTTTTTTTACTATTTAATTTTTTTAGATCAAGCCAGAAACCCTGAACAACTTACAATAAATGGAGTCCACGACATGATAGAATTAAAAAGCAGAGATAAACCAACAAAGAACTTTGGATTTAAAGCAAAGACTTCTTCTTCTATCAGAAGAAGAGAGCCATTCGTCTCTCCAAGAAGAAATAATGTCAAAGCAGGATCAGCAGCGCAAAGATTCTTCTCAGTGTCAGTATGAAGGATTACAAATTGCAACAAAAACAGCTGTAAATATGAGTTGTGTGCCCTATAAGAGAACTGACAAGGATTGCCATGAAGCCTTTAGTTACTTTGGGATGTTCAACGTTACGAATTCAGATACACATGACTGCATAATGCTTCCTAGCCGGCCAATTTGTACATTTCTCACGGAGTCGAGGTTTGGCCCCACAGAGAGAGTTTCTGTGACGTGTTGGAGAGACGTGTGCGACAAGTCATCGCCAGTCTTTCTCGGCTGTGCGGATCCCAGGTTTGGAATCGTACACAACGAGAACGATTTTAAAACGCCAATTTCACAGCGTGGGAGAATTGGAGCAAGAGTTACCTGAGATTGTATCTCGAACTTCAATTAACGGTTTTAACTTTTGTTTACTGAAGTGCAAGGAGAGGAATAAAAGTGTCAAACAAGCTCTAATATTCCCGCCAATTTTCAGACGTGCGACGACGAAAACAGATCATGCAAAGAGAAAGATAAACATTAATATTGTACTTGAGGATTCAGTTTCTCGGTCACACTTTTACAGATCCATGCCTCGCTCGGTCCAGTCTCTTCGTGATATTGCAAAAGATTCTAGTCAGTTCAAGGCCAGTGTACTGGATTTTGAGCTCGTTCAAAGCTTTGCCTCCAACACTCTTGTGAACACTCAGTTTTTAATGGCTGTCAAATCACTAGAATATAAATCAGGAAGAACAAACAATATAAACATACTCGCGGAGAAGTTTAAGCGCTTTGGATACCAAATTTTAATGCAGGAAGACTTGTGTTGGTATGATGGGTGGGGAAGTTTTCTGTCCCCTTCTTACAAGAAAAACATCGAACCTTTCACAGAGGGATTCAACAAGCTTTTGAAAACTACAAACAAGAAACCAATCCTTATTTAGACAATGTGGGTCTCAGTTATCTTTCTTGTGAGATCCTAAAGGATCTTGGATTTACGAATCCTTTCGGGCGTAAAAAAGGCTACAACACTCTTTGCTGGGATGGCAGATCACTGAGTGAATATCTTCTTTCTTACGTTCGAAGATTTCTGTCATTAATAGATCAAAATCCTGCGGCTGCTCCAGGATTAACTTATACTCATCTTAATACAGGACACGAACCCTCTGGAAAGCGCATTCGAAACGACGATCGATTTTTGTCAAGATTTCTGGAAGAAATGGCAAAGAGGTGAAAACACTTTGACAATCATTCTCTCAGATCATGGAGGTAAGACAACAGATTATGCTATCCAAACACTCCAAGGAAGTTTAGAGGTTTATAGCCCAATGCTTTTTATGATCATTCCACATAAAGTAGCACAACGCTTGGGCAAAGATAGACTGAACGCACTCATTGAAAACCAAAAACGCTTAGTCACCGTGTCAGATTTACACTACACGATTACTTCTGTCGCAGAGCTGACAGAAAGTGGTGCCGCGGTCAGTCAGGCCAGTGGCTTACTGAGACCAGTGTCTGCTACTCGCACTTGCACAGATATACAAGGTCTTCCTTCGGAAGTGATGTGTCGTTGCGAAGGTTGGAGAAAGTTCCTGAGTGCAAATTCAGTGGATATTTTATGGCTAGCAGAGTTTACCGTTGGACATATTAATAATTTAGTGCAGAAACAATATTTAGCCGGTAAATCAGAAAGCAAACACTTAAGTGGATACGGAAATTGCGCCAGATTTGTTGGAAAAGCTATTGAGCGGCCAAGGCAGGAGATAGCGGGCAAATATTACATCACAACGATGATTTTAGTTGTTGAGCCCGCCTATGGTGTTAAATCAAAAGAACGCTTCGAAGTTCAGCTTCGGCACTCAAGTGTTCGAGAACACAGAATCACCTTCATTAAATACACACGACTAAGCCTTTATAGTAAATATGAAAATTGCGCAGACAGGGGCGTGGACGTGAAACTTTGCGCCTGCGAGACTCCGCGCCGACGATCGCATCAATTATCAGTGGAGAAACTGATCCGCTCTCGCCATTTTGTAGATTACGGACTGAAGAGTAACACCCGATCTCTGGACTCTAAATGTTTGTTGGTGACTATACGGAGCCTAAAGAAATATGTCGTGTCTAAAAGGCAGACTCGCTTGATGAGCATTGAAGTTGCAAATGTGTGCAAGGACATTTTGATGAAAGTTAAGTTGGGGGGCATTCACAGGAAAACAAAATTTTCCCAAACACTACCGTTGTCTTTAGTCGTTAAGCCAAAGACAATGCATTATGTGCTGTCAGTACTCAATGAGTGGAAGTATGGCTTGTTTAGACCAGCTTTCATGCATGTGCCCATTAACCAGATCGTGGGTGGTGATCTTTCAAGAAGAAAGCGTGACATACTAGAGTTTACGTGACATAGGCGAAATGTTGCCTCGGCTGTTACTGGAGAGACCGCCCTCTTGTAAAACCACCTCTGGTCCGCTCATTAGCTCACGGTCAGAAAAACAACCTCTTGGACAGATGGTACCTATACGGCGTTTTCCCAGGCCTTCTCGGTCAATGCATTTCGGTGACGTAATTGAGAAAATTTTGCTCGGACCACGTGACCCGAAATACATCGTCCGGGCGCAATAATAAGGTCTAGGAACTTGGCAAGGTAAATTTGAAGATTCCAAACGTAAAGGGACGGAAATAGAATGATAATAGGTCATGCTTTAGGGGTACATCACTATTATGCCTGGTAAAACGTTACTAGTCAAACGCCTGTTTGTTTAAACATTTGATATCTTGTCACTTATTGCTATTACAGGTTTTAAAGGACTTTTTCCCCTTTTATCTTAAAGATACTGTCGCGACATGCATTTAATTTTAGGAGTAAAATGTTAATTGCGAATGCTTCTGATCTTTTATAGCCTGTGGTGAATATCCTGGGGTGACCATTCAAATAAAACCTTTTTTTCTTCATTACCTTTTTAATCTTTACGGTACAATTAGCTTTTTGTAACTATACAAAATAAAATGTGGAATTTATGTTTCAGTTACACCTTTTTCCAGTGTTCTCCGCCCTGCCTTTTTGCAGGGTATATTTCTCCATTCATATCCAAATGAATAGCAATCATGACTGTGATAATCAGGCCAAGGATGTCAAGGTCCAAATTGTTTAGAAGCTGGATCTTCCTACCGCTCTATCAAGTTGTTAACTCGATTGGTTTCCCTAGTACTGGTTTATCCGGGGGAAGGGCTATTCAAAGTTTGTCCCTTCTTGTCTCCATAGCCAATCGACTTAATTTGTCAAGACCACGAGACCAAAAGAAACGAAGGGCTCTGGGGACGAGAAAGAAGTTTGACCATCACATGTTCCAAACCCCATTTGCGTTTGGTTTGGCACATGTGAAATTCGCCAGGCATAACTTTGCGCCACATTAGGCCAGGAGCTTAAGCCACAACAACGGCGACGCCGGGCTACAATAACGTCACTTAATAAGTGAAGTCGCGCTGCTTCGAACATGATTGCGCTTTTTTCATCTCGTTCAGTTCGTTAAGTGTTGACAATTTTTTCTATCACGAATTTAAGACTAGAAGGCTGTATCAAAGTTCAGAAAAAAGAGAATAAAAAGAAAGTCGTTGTCTTGTGTTCAAGTCCTTCACAAAACGTGAAATTAGGTGACTGAAAAGAAATGTACAGAAAAGCGTGATGCACGTGCAAAGTTGTTGTTTTGCCAAAATAAATCTTTTGGTTTTTGGCCCTTCTCCCTGACGTCGCCGACGTCGCTGTCGCTGGTTAAAGGAGCCGTGTCACAAAATTCAGACAAAGTAGGTGTGACGAAACCCGACACAAAAGTGAGTCCTCTCTAACGACAAAACATAGCACAAACAAACCCGAGAAGACACGTACATAAAAAAAAAATAATATTCTAAACGTTTAATAAAACAATACTCCCAAAAAAAAACTCCACGATTAAAAATAAACTAGGCGTTACTAAACAATATTTAACGGGATAATTATTCTAATTTCTAAAGACTACTGCGACAATACTTGTAATAATTATGCTAATTTCTAAAGACTAAATCAAGTTTACCTCTTACACAAAATTTAACAGCGATTTTTTTTTTCTACTTAGCCTATACATATTTACAAATTAACTTCTTCCAACGTATTAATAGTTCCTTTAAAGTTCGCCTTGGGTATAAACAGAGTTCCTTGTTCGCTCCTTTAGCCACACTCCAGTTGCCTTTCTCTCGTATCTTCTCCAAACTTTCTCGTTCTTTGTTCGTTCCTTTAGCCCGTCGATAATTCCAAAAAAAAAACCTCCACACTCCAGTTGCCTTTCTCTTGTATCTTTCCAAACTTTCTCTGGCTTCGGTTTTCCGGTCAGCCACTCCCTAACAATTAAAACAATGCTGCCAATACTCACAAATACTTCTTCTGCTTCTTCTGCTTTTACTTCTTCAACTCTTATGGCACGTCAGATGGCTTTTCCCCGACAAATGGCTTCTTTAGTCGTGAAATTAGAGGAAAGCCTCCACTAAAAGGGTTTCAGCGGAATCGCTTGTGCTTCTAAGGTCTTCTTCTCGTTCTCTCTCCGGCGCGCTCTCTGCACTCACTGCTCTTCCCTCGACGCGGCTCCTTCTTAACATCAAAACTTACAAATCCATTCAAATGTAAATGTACAGTGTGGCAAAAGGGACTATAGTAAAAATTCCGACAGTAATTAACAGCTTAACAATAGAACGGCTAACAATGAAGATTTTAACAAAAATAATTACGTAATAGTTTACACAGCAGAAAAATACTTAAATAAAAGTAATTAGCATATAAAACAACTATTATAAATTAGGAATTCTGTGACACCTCCCCCCAACAATGGCTATTTTTTAGGGGAAGTGAAGACAAAAAATAGCCTAAGCAAGCGATGAAAGTACAACAGTAAGCTTACTTAAACCCTGCTAAGGGCATCTACGTTACAGTTCTGTTTGCCACTTTTGTGTTCGACGACCATGTCATATTCTTGTAGAGTAATGCTCCACCGCAGCAGCTTCCTACTCTTATCGCGGACCTGATTCAACCACACTAAAGGGTTGTGGTCCGTCTGCAGCTTAAAAGTACGGCCATACAAATAGTACCGAAACAGCTCAACAGCCCATACAATACCTAAGCACTCTTTCTCTGTAGTGGATAACTTTTCCTCTCTAGGCTGAAGCTTTCTACTTGCATATGCTATAGGATGTTCCTCCCCTTCCTGATCTTTCTGACTTAAGATTGCCCCAAGACCTCTATTCGAGGCATCTACTTGCAAAACGAATTCGTCTTCCCAATGTGGCGGTCTCAAAACGGGTGGGTTCTGCATAGCAGCTTTTAGATCCTGAAATGCCAATTGATGGATTATATTCCACTGTACCTTAGAGGGATTCTTACCTTTAGTTAGGTCAGTCAAAACAGCAGCTCGTTCTGAAAAGCTAGGAATAAACTTTCTGTAATACCCAACTAACCCAAGAAAAGATCTTACCTGCTTCTTAGTCTCGGGTCTTGGATAATCTACAATGGCCTGAACAAGGGCTGTGCGAGGTTCAATTCTATCGCCACCAACGCGGTGACCGACGAAATCTACCGTTGACATTGCAATCTTGCATTTTGAGGGTCTTGCGTTCAGTTTAGCTTCTCGCAGACGTTGTAAAACCTGTCTAAGCTCAGAAAGATGCTGTGGGAAAGAAGTGGGCGTGTCAACCTCAACATCATCGATGTAAGCGTCTGCAAAATCTAACCCTTTGAGGACTGTTTGCGACATCATCCTTTGAAAGGTAGCCGGGGCTGTTTTCATACCGAATGGCATCACTAAAAACTCATATAGTCCTCTCGAGGTAATAAATGCGGATTTTTCGATAGTAGAGGTCTCCAGGGGAATTTGCCAGTACCCTTTCGTGAGATCAATTGTACTGATGTACTTTGCAGAAGCAATTTTCTCAATCATTCTTTCCATGGATGGAATTGGATAGGCATCCATCTTAGTCACATGGTTCAATTTCCTGTAATCCACACATAGCCGAATAGTACCATCTGGCTTGGGAACAATGACAACAGGGGCCGCCCAAGGACTTGTGGAAGGACGAATTATACCCATTTCTAGCATTTTCTCAATCTCTTTGTTGACCTCCTGTTCGAGTCTTTGAGGTATTCTATAGGGTACACTTCGGATGGGTGACGACCCGCCAGTATCAATTTTGTGTGTAGCTACATTCGTTAAATTTGGTCTTCCCGAAAACACATCAGAATACTCGTGTAATAAATTCCTCACCTGGCTCCTTTGACCTTCGGTTAAGTCATCCGAGATTGTAACATCTTCCCAGGTTTCCTCGTGACCAAAGGGGGGACATTATTCTCGTGGGGTAATGGCATCTCTGGGGACTCTTCCATCACTAGAGCGGCCATTTCGTCTCTGCTCTGCCATTTACTTAACAAGTTAATATGATAAGTGCGATGCTGCTTGCAAGTCTTACCGGTGTCAAGTTCATAATTCAACCCATCTTCTAGTGCTCTCGTGACTGTAAAGGGTCCTTGCCACTTCATCTCTAATTTACTCCCAGGGAGGGCAACAAAACTAAGGCTTTATCACCGGCCTCTAAGCGTCGCTCTGAGCTATGGGTGTCATACCACCGTTTCTGCTTACCTTGAGCTTGCTTCAGATTCTCTTGAACAACTTGTTGCATTGTTGCAAGTCGTCTACGGATCTCCAGGACATGTGTTATCAGGTTTTCTTCTGAAGACTGCCCTTCCGACCAAGTTTCCTTAATAACCGCGAGGGGTCCTCTCACAGTACGCCCATAAAGTAACTCAAATGGGGAATAACCAGTGGACTCACAAGGAACTTCTCTGTAAGCAAAAAGCAAATATGGGAGGTACTTGTCCCAGATCTGCACGCGCTCTCGAACAAACTTCTTTAACATACCCTTTAAAGTTCCATTGAATCTTTCCACTAGCCCATTTGCCTCAGGGTGGTATACTGATGTTTTAATCTTAGTAACCCCTAACTGGTCGTACAGCTGGGCCAAGAGCTTACTCATGAAATTGGATCCCTGGTCAGACACTATTTCATCGGGAATACCTACCCTAGAGAAATACTGAATCAATGCTTCCGCAACCGTCTTTGCGTTTGTTGTTCGCAAAGGTATGGCCTCTGGATACCGTGTAGCATAATCTACTATAGTTAAAATGTATTTATAGCCAGTTGTTGTCCTAGGTAACTCCCCCAACGATGTCTATAGCGATTTTCTTAAAAGGCTCGGTAACGATTTCCACCGGTTTTAAAGGTGCTCTTTTGACTTTAATTTCCTGGCTACCAACTGACATTGAGGACAGGTTGCACAATATTTGCGTACATCAAAACTTAGACCAGGCCAAGAAAAATGCGCAGCTATCCGGTCCAATGTTTTTTTTGCTACCCATATGACCTGATAAAGGGATTGTGTGTCCAACCCGCAAAATTTCGTTTCGATAGGATTCTGGCACTACAATACGATCAACATACCTAGTTCCATTATGCTCATCTGAGAGATATTTGCGATGAAACAAGAGGTCATTTGTGAAAAAGTAGCCATCGGATACTTCTGGTGCCTTCTGGAACGCTTCACGGCGTATCTTCCCTAGAGTTACGTCGGACTTTTGATCTGCAATCAGCTGATTTCTATTTCGGTCGAGGATGTTTACCGGAAAATTCTCCTTTCCGGGTTCGGTTACAGTAGTATCATTCTCGGAATTCTCCTCACCTTTCTCTTCCGGTATCTTTCCCTCAAAGAGGGTTTGCAGATCTCCTTCCTCTGGACCCTCACGTTTCATCTCTTTTTTTGATAAACTTTTGACTGCTATTGAACTTTCTCGGTCAATTAATTCATCTGCTCTCAACTGGGCTTCTTCTAATGCTCTCTGTCTTCGAGTCATTACGAAGGCCTCTTGTCCACCAGCATCGGCTGCCCGAACGTTTTCCTCCCATTGGTCCAAAATATTTTGTCTCGAAAGCGTCTTTCCAAAGGAGGACCTGCCAAGTAAACAATCTACAGGTAGCTTGTCTAAAACTCCAACTAATTCTACATGTTTACCTTCCTTGCTATCAAATTCAACCTTTGCAAGGGGACTGTAAGACGTTCTCCCGCAGCTGTTAATACTGTGATTTTGTCACCAGTCAAGGCTGAGCTGTTTACATATTTCCTGTGAACTAGAGTCCTAGTACACCCAGAATCAACGACCATTTGTGCAAACTTTCCATTTATTTTACCTCGAACATTGCAAGGAGGAAACTCAGATTGCTCTGTTGTTAAAGGTGTCATACACAACAGGTACCCCTGTGAGGGCTTCCCACGACCCTTACCACAGTTAAACGACATGTGTCCTGGTTTACCACATTTGAAGCATTTAATTTCAGGCTTTGTAGTCTTTTGTTCAGGGGATGGTGAGGGTTTTGCAGGCTTTTCTTGATTTTGATTTTGTTTCTCTTCAGGCAAAGAATCAGCTGCCTTACCTCCAAACCTTTCCTTTTTCATAGATTTTCCCCCACCTCGGTTTGTTACATACCTGCCTCCAACAAGTGGTCCTTTTCTGGACTGAACATGCAAATTGGCGAGATTACCAAGTTCCTCAGCAGTCTTTGGCTCCTGTTCCTTTAACCAAGCTCTAAGTTCAGGGCTTACTGCATCAAGGAGTCGCTCCATCATTATTTGTTCGATGATCTTTTCTGCATCCCCTGTTGCCTCGGCAACGGCCATCCAACGATTGAGGTACCTACGGGTCCTGTTTCCCCACTGAACAAAATCCTCGTCAGGTTTTTTCTCCGAAGTTCGAAACCTATATCTATAATGATCAGCAGTCAACTGATAAGCTTTAATGATAATGGCCTTACTTTCGAAATAATCTTGGCAGGCAGGGTCAGGAATTTCTAAGTAGATTGACTTAGCCTTTTCAGTTAGCTTGGGTACTAAGTTACCAACCCAGTCCCCTCAGGTAGGGATTGTGCCCTTGCAGTCATTTCAAAAATCCGGAAATAATCATCTATATCTTCGCTTTCCCTCATTTCCCTGATTTTCATAAATTTGGGCCCCCTAGTCTCATTGTTACTCACCTGCCGTCTTTCCGACTCCCTTGTAGCAAATTGTTCTTTCTCAGCTCTGAGTACTCTAAGTCTCTCCTCTTCTCGAATCGAACGTTCTTCTTCCTCCTGGGACTTTTGCCTTTCATACTCTCTTCTCTCTATCTCAGCCTCCCTTTCTGCCTGGCGCCTCTCTCTCTCAACCTCTCTCTCTAACTCCCTAATTTCCCTTTGCTCCTGACTAATTTTCCTTCGTAATTCTAGCATCTGCATTTCACGTTCCTGTAGCTGTAATCTTTGTTCAAAACTGAGACTAGTGTCCGGAGCAGACTCCGCAAGATTCTCGTTTTCCCCGCATCGCCCGAACTTTGGCCTGACCGATCAAACGTTCTTAGTTTGCTTTGCTAAGGTCTTAACTCCGTCCTTACGTGGAAAATAAATACGTCTTCTCGTAGCTTCATCCCTAAGTTCTTGTAATGTCCAGGAGTCATAATCGGTGGCTCTAGCGGCCATGATAAATCCTAAATATGGTAATTGTATACGTGTCTCCGTTTGAGCCGTTTACACAAACCGTTAAAGAGCAATCCCGCTTCTGACACCAAAAATCTGTGACGAAACCCGACACAAAAGTGAGTCCTCTCTAACGACAAAACATAGCACAAACAAACCCGAGAAGACACGTACATAAAAAAAAAAAAATATTCTAAACGTTTAATAAAACAATACTCCCAAAAAAAAACTCCACGATTAAAAATAAACTAGGCGTTACTAAACAATATTTAACGGGATAATTATTCTAATTTCTAAAGACTACTGCGACAATACTTGTAATAATTATGCTAATTTCTAAAGACTAAATCAAGTTTACCTCTTACACAAAATTTAACAGCGATTTTTTTTTTCTACTTAGCCTATACATATTTACAAATTAACTTCTTCCAACGTATTAATAGTTCCTTTAAAGTTCGCCTTGGGTATAAACAGAGTTCCTTGTTCGCTCCTTTAGCCACACTCCAGTTGCCTTTCTCTCGTATCTTCTCCAAACTTTCTCGTTCTTTGTTCGTTCCTTTAGCCCGTCGATAATTCCAAAAAAAAAACCTCCACACTCCAGTTGCCTTTCTCTTGTATCTTTCCAAACTTTCTCTGGCTTCGGTTTTCCGGTCAGCCACTCCCTAACAATTAAAACAATGCTGCCAATACTCACAAATACTTCTTCTGCTTCTTCTGCTTTTACTTCTTCAACTCTTATGGCACGTCAGATGGCTTTTCCCCGACAAATGGCTTTTTAGTCGTGAAATTAGAGGAAAGCCTCCACTAAAAGGGTTTCAGCGGAATCGCTTGTGCTTCTAAGGTCTTCTTCTCGTTCTCTCTCGGCGCGCTCTCTGCACTCACTGCTCTTCCCTCGACGCGGCTCCTTCTTAACATCAAAACTTACAAATCCATTCAAATGTAAATGTACAGTGTGGCAAAAGGGACTATAGTAAAAATTCCGACAGTAATTAACAGCTTAACAATAGAACGGCTAACAATGAAGATTTTAACAAAAATAATTACGTAATAGTTTACACAGCAGAAAAATACTTAAATAAAAGTAATTAGCATATAAAACAACTATTATAAATTAGGAATTCTGTGACAGTAGGTAATCACAAAATGCCCGTTAAACTGAGAGAAACATAAAAAATAACCACCTAAAACATTAAAGGAAGGTTAAAATAACACAACAGAAACAACAGATTCCACGGATGGTCAAAACTGAAGAAGATTGAAATGGATTGAAATTCGGGTTTTTGAAAACTGTTCAGCCTAACAGTTTTTCAAAGTTGATTCCTGCTGCTTGCAACTTCATAAATAATGCTCAGGAGACATATTTGTTTGTTTCTGATCTCTGATATTTGTCATTTACATGTAATTTCTGTGCTTACTTTAAGTGCCATAGTGATTGAGGGCGAGTAATTGGAAAAATTAAACAAACTGAACTGGACTGCCATGACACAGCCCCTTTATCCCCTCAGTTAGGATCTTTGAGATCCAACAACGCCACGGCAACGACAACGTCGCTTGGAAAATTAACTTGTGTTATTTCAGTCTTAATCGCAATTAGTTTTAGACACTTACTTTGTCATATGTAGGCGAACTCTCCCGGAGTTAAATTCCTAGGGATCATATCCAAGTTCAGAGAGAAAATAAAATTTCGTTATTGCTTGTTTACGTACTCCATAAAACGTGAAATTAAGAATTTTCATGTTGTACTCGTACAAAAACGGGCAAAGAAATGTACGAAAAAGCGTGATGCACGTGTTGTTGTTTTGATCATAATTATATAAATTATAAAACCTATTGTTTTTTTTAACGTTCTCGTTGCCGTCCGCGTCGTTGGATCTTAAAGTCCCTAGTGATGCAGCAGGGCGCCGCGCTTGTGAATAGTCTGTTATTGTCTTAAATGACAGAGGGGCTTAGCCTGCGTAGCAAGCGTCGAAAGGGTAGGGAATTGTGAGGAAGACAAAAAGGAAGGGGGGTTGTGATTTTCCCTCTGAAGTAAACCAACCCGCCAATTATCAATAATGCACCTCTCCCGATCAGAACACCAAAAACTACAGGAAGAATCTGGCTGTTCCATGCCGTCCACGCTATGACTCCACCAAGGATCAGTCCCAAGAGTACCGATAAAATCCAGGCACGTCTTCCGTGCGTCACAATAAATGTTGTTTTTCATTGTCTCGGAGTATTGGTACCGCTCTTCAACAAGACTAGGATATACATTTGCTCGCGCTCCAATCTTTGTATGCCTGAAAGAGCCCAAATAGGCTTTGAGTCAATAGCCCATGAGGCCATAAGGGCGAGAGGAATAATTGTTTTAGTAAAATCCAACTAGTTGGTCAAAAATACAGAGAATAAAAAAGTTTTAACTACTTAAAGCTAGACTTTTATCCTTTTTTGCCGCCAAAAAGCCGGCGCTTTTCGCTACTAGTGGGCTGTAACATATAGCTAGTAGTAGCTCAACCAATCAGAACGCACCATTCATAATAGACCAGTAGTTGGATTTTACTAATATTACTTATTAGTGGACACACTCGGACAAATTGTTCCTCGATCACAGACTGACATGAAGCAAATCGATTGGCCGAGAATGGAGTCAGATGAGTCATCGTTTACTAATTTTTCGATGTTTCATTCTCTGGAAGGCTAAATTTTTGTTGGCTGCGAACCCGCTTTATCTGGAACAAAAGTTTACTTAATTGACTGACAAGGCATATTGGCAAGTCATCAGGTCAGACTCAGAACCACTGGTGAGAAAAGTTAGCAAATTTAAACCAACTGCACAGAAATTTTATTATTCGAGTAGGGTTACGTATGCGTAAAAACTAATTGGCACATGATTAAAATTACCCCGTAAGTTGTTGTATAACTTTATCATCGAAAAATCTTTCAGTGTAGTTTAACCGGATTTTAAGCCTTCTTGGTCAGTCATCCAGAGCTGTTAAGATTTTTTGACGATTATTAATTTTCGACTTTTTCGTCTTCAGCTTATATAACAGCACCTCTGAAAATATGAAAGTATAATGAAATCTGTGACTTCCTAATTACTCGTGTACAGATAAGCTTCCAGTCAACAGGTGGGGCATTGAAAGTCTTCTTTAAAGTTAATACCGCATGGTTGGTGTCCCTACCTTGTCAACAGACTGCGAAATTTCTCTTCAAGCAGCTTGGCTATTGTCAAAATTGTCTCAACTTCTGATTCTTTCTATTCATTTTCCGTGAACTGAGTGAAATATTCCATGGTTTCTTTTAATGTGGACAACGTCTTTTTTTCGAGATCTTCCCAGTCTGAACTAAGGTTGTCGAGATCTTTTTTTATTCCTTCGTACGACAGATTTTCCTTGGATTCCAGATTGATGAGTGCTTGGTATCCATTTGTAAAACATTCCATTATTTTATCGCAAACATCGCAGCAGGCCATGTTGTACCGCAGATGCACCTGTCGCCTATACATTTGAAACGACAGGAATGAAAAACAGGGGTGGAAGATCCATGGGTTAGGTCAAGAGAATCGTTAAGCATTAGCACTGATAACGCCAGTTTGAATTTGTGTAATTAATCTGCAAGTAGTAAACTCGACTCAGACCAACTTTGCTGACATCATAGCTTAAAAAGGAACAGTAACGTCATCATTTACCTTCAGTATCACTACTTTTCGCTAGAAGTTATTTTCGTGAGTTTCGCGATTTAAGAAATTTTGCGAAATTAAAGTGCTGCGAAACTTAAAGACGCGAAATTTATAGTGACCTATATTATATTTACATTTTCGGTCTGATACACACGAGTAAAAGGGCTCAATTTTCAGTTCAATGTATGTCCTTATTCCTCATCATCTAACTCATCTTGCTGAATTAGTTCCTGTAACACTTCCTCAGCAGTCTTTAAATTTGCCATCAACAACAATTCCTCCCCTACCTCCGACAGAACTTGCTCATAAAAGAACCTCAGTTTACCTAATTTACTTTCACCTCTGCGTAACTTTACTCGCCTTTTTGTTCCCTTTACAGAAGCAGCTTTTCTTTTTACTGCTTTGCCTTGGACTCGTGTCGGTAATGTTTCTTTATCACAATCCTGATTGGGGTCTGGGATCCATCAAGCTTCTTAATCATCAAAGACATTTTTTGGTTACAGTCCAAGCTGGTAAGTTAATAGTTTAATCTATACACGTATTGTTACTTTGAACTCCCGGAGGTCATTTTAACATTTACCACTCTTGTATGGGCCATTCCTCCCTTTTATTGGACAGTAAGTCTTTTACATTGGAGGTAGGATTAGTCAACCTGTGCGGGCAGTGTATCCCTTTTAAAAGGGTCATTTTCCACCATGACAATGGTCGCTTTTAGTGAGCGCCTTTAAATGCTCCTTTCAAGTTATCTGTAGTCAACCCGTCGTTCTCCACGCAAACGGCAAACTTCCTGATCATGACAGCCTCTGCTATGTATTGCTTTGGCCGTTGGCCGTTAGGTTTGCATCGCAAAGAGTAATCCCATTTGAAGTTCATGTTCCGTTGACGTCGGATATATTAACAATCGGTTGGTCATCCGCCCCTGCGAGTATTTGCCTTTTGTTCATGTAGTAAACCTGTGCATTGTAAATCTCAGTTTATTGGCCCTTTCGCCAAAACGTTTGAGGAAATCGTCAGTAAAACATCAAACATCTTTTAAGCTGCAACAATGATTAATATGCTCTTGGCTTAATCATAGTGGTCTCCTTACGTTATTGAAATGATGCTTTAATTGTTTACTTCACTGTTTTTTTTTCTACTATTTGATTTTTTAGATAAAGCCAGAAACCCTGAGCAACTTACAATAAATGGAGTCCACGACATGACAGAAGCAGAGATAAACCAACAAAGAACTTTGGATTTAAAGCAAAGACTTCTTTTTCTATCAGACGAAGAGAGCCATTCCTCTCTCCCAGAAGAAATAATCTCAAAGCAGGATCAGCAGCGCAAATATTCTTCTCAGTGATGAAGGATTACATATTGCAACAAAGAAAGCTGTAAATATGAGTTGTGTGCCCTATAAGAGAAGTGACAAGGATTGCCATGAAGCCTTTAGTTACTTTGGGATGTTCAACGTTACGAATTCAGATACACATGACTGCGTAGTGCTTCCTAGCCGGCCAATTTGTACATTTCTTACCGAGTCGAGGTTTGGCCCAACAGAAAGAGTTTCTGTGACATGTTGGAGAGACCTGTGCGACAAGTCATCACCAGTCTTTCTCGGCTGTGCGGATCCCAGGTTTGGAATCGTACAGAACGAGAACGATTGGCGCCAATTTCACAGCGTGGAGGAATTGGAGCAAGAGTTACCTGAGATTGTATCTCGAACTTCAATAAATGGTTTTAACTTTTGTTTACTGAAGTGCAAGGAGAGGAATAAAAGTGTCAAACAAGCTCTAATATTCCCGCCAATTTTAAAACGTGCGACGACGAAAACAGATCATGCAAAGAGAAAGATAAACATTAATATTGTACTTGAGGATTCAGTTTCTCGGTCACACTTTTACAGATCCATGCCTCGCTCGGTCCAGTCTCTTCGTGATATTGCAAAAGATTCTAGTTTCAAGGCCAGTGTGCTGGATTTTGAGCTCGTTCAAAGCTTTACCTCCAACACTCTTGTGAACACCCAGTTTTTGATGGCGGGCAAATCACTAGAGTATAAATCAGGAAGAACAAACAATATAAACATACTCGCGGAGAAGTTTAAACGATTTGGATACCAAATTTTAATGCAGGAAGACTTGTGTTGGTACGATGGGTGGGGAAGTTTTCTCTCCCCTTCTTACAAGAAAAACATCGAACCTTTCACAGAGGGATTCAAGCAAGTTTTTGAAAACTACAAACAAGAAACCAATCCTTATTTAGACAATGTGGGTCTCAGTTATCTCTCTTGTGAGATCCTAAAGGATCTTGGATTTACGAATCCTTTCGGGCGTAAAAAACGCGACAACACTCCTTGCTGGGATGGCAGATCACTGAGTGAATATCTTCTATCTTACGTTCGAAGATTTCTGTCATTAATAGATCAAAATCGTGCGGCTGCTCCAGGATTAACTTATACTCATCTTAACACAGAACACGAACCCTCTGGAAAGCGCATTCGAAACGACGATCGATTTTTGTCAAGATTTCTGGAAGAAATGGCGAGAAGCGAAAATACTTTGACAATCATTATCTCAGATCATGGAGGTAAGACAACAGATTATGCTATCCAAACACTGCAAGGAAGTTTAGAGGTTTATAGCCCAATGCTTTTTATGATCATTCCACATAAAGTAGCACAACGCTTGGGCAAAGATAGACTGAACGCTCTTATTGAAAACCAAAAACGCTTAGTCACCGTGTCGGATTTACACTACACAATTACTTCTGTCGCAGAGCTGACAGAAAGTGGTGCCGCGGTCAGTCAGGCTAGTGGCTTACTGAGACCAGTGTCTGCTACTCGCACTTGCACAGATATACAAGGTCTTCCTTCGGAAGTGATGTGTCGTTGCGAAGGTTGGACAAAGTTCCTGAGTGCAAATTCAGTGGATATTTTATGGCTAGCAGAGTTTGCCGTTGGACATATTAATAATTTAGTGCAGAAACAACATTTAGCCGGTAAATCAGAAAACAAAAACTTAAGTGGATACGGAAATTGCGCCAGATTTGTTGGAAAAGCTATTGAGCGGCCAAGGCAGGAGATAGCGGGCAAATATTACATCACAACAATGATTTTAGTTGTTGAGCCAGTCTATGGTATTAAATCAAAAGAACGCTTCGAAGTTCAGCTTCGGCACTCAAGCATTCGAGAACACAGAATCACCTTCATTAAATACACACGACTAAGCTTTTATAGTAAATATGAAAATTGCGCAGACAGGGGCGTTGACGTGAAACTTTGCGCCTGTGCGACTCCGCGCCGAGGATCGCATCAATTATCAGTGGAGAAACTGATCCGCTCTCGCCATTGTGTAGATTACGGACTGAAGAGTAGTACGCGATCACTGGACTCTAAATGTTTGTTGGTGACTATACGGAGCCTAAAGAAATATGTCGTGTCTAAAAGGCAGACTCGCTTGATGAGCATTGAAGTTGCAAATGTGTGCAAGGACATTTCGATGAAAGTTAAGTTGGGGGGAATTCACAGGAAAACAAAATTTTCCCAAACATTACCGTTATCTTTAGTCGTTAAGCCAAGGACAATACATTATGTGCTGTCAGTACTCAATGAGTGGAGGTATGGTTTTTTTAGACCAGCTTTCATGCACGTGCCCATTAGCCAGACCGCGGGTGGTGATTTTTCAAGAAGAAAGCGTGACATACTAGAGTTTACGTGACATAGGCGTAATGTTGCCTCGGCTGCTACTGGAGAGACCGCCCTCTTAAAACACCACCTCTAGTCCGCTCACTAGCTCACGGTCAGAAAAACAACCTCTTGGACAGATGGTACCTATACGGCGTTTTCCCAGGCCTTCTCGGTCAATGCATTTCGGTGACGTATTCGAGAGAAACTTGCTCGGACCACGTGGCCCGAAACTCATCGGCCGGGCGCAATAATGAGGCCCAGGAACTTGGCAAGGTAAATTTGAAGATTCCAAACGTCATAGGACGGAAATAGAATGATAATAGGTCATAATTCTGCTTTAGGGGTACGTCACTATTATGCATGGTAAAACGTTATTAATCAATTATTAATGCCGGTTTGTTTAGACATTTGATATCTTGTCACTTTATTGCTATTAGAAGTTTTGAAGGACTTTTTCCCCTTTTATCTTAAGATACTGTCGCGACATGCATTTAATTTTAAGAGTCACATGTTAATTACGAGCTCTTCCGATCTTTTTATAGCCTGTGGTGAATATAATATCCTGGCGTGAACATTCAGATAAAAGCTTTTTTCTATATTACCTTTTGAATCTTTACGGTACAATTAGCTTTTTGTAACTATACAAAATATAATGTGGAATTTATATTTCAGTTACACCTTTTTCCAGTGTGCTCTGCCCTGCTTTATGCAGGGTATATTTCTCCATTCATATCCAAATGAATAGCAATTATGACTGTGATAACCAGGCCAAGGATGTCAGGGTCCCAATTGTTTAAAAGGTGGCCTACCACTCTATGAAGTTCTTAGATTGGTCTCCCTAGTACTGATTTATCCGGTGGAAGCGCTATTCAAAGTTTGACCATTTTCGTCTTCATAGACAATCGACCTAATTTGTCAAGACCACGTGACCAAAAGAAACGATGGGCTCTGGGGACGAGAAAGAAATTTGACCATCACATGTTCCAAACCCCATTTGCGTTTGGTTTGGCACATGTGAAATTTGCTTAGGCGTAACTTTGCGCCACATTAGGCCAGGAGCTTAAGCCACAACAACGGCGACGCCGGGCTACAATAACGTCACTTAATAAATGAAGTCGCGCTGCTTCAAACCTGATTGCGTTTTTTCCATCTCGTTCCATTCGTTATGTGTTGACAATTTTTTCTAGAGTTGACGACTAAAAGACTATATCAAAGTTCAGGAAAAAAAAAAGAAAGTCGTTGTCTTGTCTTCACGTCCTCCACAAAACGTGAAATTCAATTTCCGTTTCACGTTGTAGTCCTGCAGTAGTGACGGCAAAGAAATGTACAGAAAAGCGTGATGCACGTGCAAAGTTGTTGTTTTGCCAAAATAAACCTTTTGCGTTTTGGACCTTTTTGTTGACGTCACCGACGTCGCTGTCGCTGCTCAAGCCCCCTCAGTTAGGATCTTTGAGATCCAACAACGCGACGGCAACGAGAACGTCGCTTAAAATATGAATTTGCGTTCTGACAGTCTTTATCGCAATTATTTCTACACACTTACTTCGTCAAATGTAGGCGAACCCTCTTCCGGAGTTAAATTCCTAGGGACCATATCCAAGTTCAGAAAGAAATTTCGTCATTGCTTATTTACGTACTCCATAAAACGTGAAATTAAGAATTTTCACGTCGTTCTCGTGCAAAAATCGGCAAAAAAATGCACGAAAAAGCGTGATGCACGTGCAAAGTTGTTGTTTTGCTCATAATTAGATAAAACCTATTGTTTTTTAACGTTCTCGTTGCCGTGCGCGTCTTTAGATCTTAAAGTCCCTAGTGATGAATTGTCTGTTGTTGTCTTAAAAGCCAGAGGTGCTTAGCCTGCGTAGCAAGCGTCGATAGGGTAGGGAATTGGGAGGAAGACAAAAAGGAGGAGGGAGTGTGATTTTCCCTTTCGCGCTTTTCTCTCTCACCCCTCCCTCCCTCCCCTCCCCTTTTTGCGCCTGCCACACAGGCTAGAGGTGCTAATTAATTGGGGGGTGGTTCCCCTCGGAGTAAATACGAAACTTCTAAGATTAAGAAATAAAAAAAGATATAAACAAAAACTCACAATAAACTTAAGCAATAATAAAATATACTCAAAAAAGATTGCCTTTGCTTAAAAGCTTTGAAACGAAAATTTTCTGAGCCCGCTCTTAAAAACCTTTCAGTACTATCTTCATGTACCACCAGGAGCCCACACCACTTGGTTCTTAAAGGTAAACTAATTGTATAATTCCTACCGAAAAATAATATAAAAAAATTAACAATTTAAAATACTATACAAACTAACTTATGGTTAAGTAGTTGGGGATGGGAAACTTCAATAGGGGTTAGTCTCACTTTCAAAATTGGTCCTTTTTTCTCCTCTTTTTTTATGAATACGAGATCAGTTGAAAATAGCGCATTTGAAAACATGGTTGAAATTTTCGCGGTGTAAATGAATTATTATCATTATCATTAGTAGTTTCCTTGGGCGTTGTTAGAGAGGAGAATTAATTAAAGCAGGTCCTAGTATGTTTAGAAAACGTATGATCCTCTTGCCTCCCTTTATTGGCTGACAGAACTGTATACTTTTCACATTGTTTAACCAAAGCAATGGAGCATTCTTTGATTGGTTGTTGTCTATCTACCATCACTTGCAGTTGCACAGGCAAAAGGTTTAATTCCTGAGCTTTCCTGAGGATAAATTTTGCCGTATCTTGCAAGTGCGACACTCCTTGCTGCAGTTGTTTCCATTTCCTGACCCCTCTTTCCGCGACAGCAGCAAAAATGAAGTAAACCAACCCGCCAATTATCAATAATGCACCTCCCCCGATCGGAACACCAAAAACTACAGGAAGAATCTGGCTGTTCCATGCCGTCCACGCTATGACTCCACCAAGGATCAGTCCTAAGAGTACCGATAAAATCCAGGCACGTCTTCCATGCGTCACAATGTTGTTTTTCATTGTCTCGGAGTATTGGTACCGCTCTTCAACAAGACTAGGATATACTTTTGCTCGCGCTCCAATCTTTGTATGCCTGAAAGAGCCCGAATGGGCTCTGAGTCAATAGCCCATGAGGCCGAAGGCCGAATGGGCTATTAACTCAGAGGCCATGAGGGCGAGAGGAATAATTATATTAGTATAAAATCCAACTAGTTGGTCAAAAATACCGAGAATAAAAAAGTTTTAACTACTTAAAGCTAGACTTTAATCTTTTTTTGCCACCAAAAATCCGGCGCTTTTCGCTACTGGTGGGCTATAACATATAGCCTTGTAGTAGCTCAACCAATCAGAACGCAGCATTCATAATAGACCAGTAGTTGGATTTTACTAATATTACTTATTAGCGGACACACTCGGACAAATTGTTCCTCGATCACAGACTGACATGGGGCAAATCGATTGGCCGAGAATGGAGTCAGATGAGTCATCGTTTACTAATTTTTCGATGTTTTCATTTTTCCATCTTTCATTCTCTGGAAGGCTAAATTTTTGTTGGCTGGGAACCTTTCTCTGGAACAAATGTTTTGTGATTGACAACGCATTTTTGCAATTCATCAGATCAGACTCGGAACAGCTAGTGAGAAAAGTTAGCAAATTTAAACCAACTGCACAGAAATTTTATTATTTGAGTAGGGTTACGTATGCGTAAAAAATATTTGGCAAATGATTAAAACTACCCCGTAAGTTATTTTATAGCTTTATCATCGAAAAATCTTTCAGTGCAGTTTAACCAGATTTTAAGCCTTCTTGGTCAGTCATCCACAGCTGTTAAGATTTTT